TGTTGCTTCAAGGGCTTTTATTTGTACTAAGAAATACGTGCGATGCACGTGAAATTTCGTATTTCTATCTTCATGTTTTTACCTCACCAACCATTCCGTATTATCATTTTCTCCCCAGCTAACACAATCACATTACTGTAGTAAATTCCAGGGCCCACCATATGGGTTACACAATTTTATTTTCTTAGACGTTAACCTATGAGACGTTAACCTATGATGTTTGACGTTTGGGTGATACTATATCCATGGTTAAAAAAAAATATATATATATATATATGATATTATAAATTAAACGGAAGAGATTCAAATCTATGGATATGAAGAGACATTAAACTCCTCAATTGTTTGGCCAATTAGGCTACAAAGTCAATATAATGATTATAACAGTTTTAATAAGCAAAATTTAAAAGGAATATATCCCAAAAATATAAAATCAAAATATAAATTTAGCACATACATCAACCCTCCAAGCACAATTCAAAACACTACTAAATATTTATATTTATATATTAAAAAGTCCAGGATTTGAAAAAGGCAAACCTTTTTTAAAGTTGGAATTTTAATAATATCTTTATTATTAGAATTTTGGAAGGTTAGAAATTTTAATTTTAAGTAAAAATCGGTATAAGTTTCAATTTAAGGTATACATGTTTTAATTATCTTATTAAATTTTATGGCTTTTGAGCTTTTTTTTAAGTTTAAAATTAAATTAAAAGATAAAATGTACTACTAAAATAATTGGGATATTGTAGTTGTTAGCAAAAATCTTCTACATATTTCAAAATATGTCCCTTGTTTTTAAATTTTCAAATATAACAAAAATTCTCACTTATATAGTAATATATTAGATACTCATATCAGTAATATATTAGATGTATATCACTTACATATTGCACAGACACTCGTATCAGTAGTATATTAAATATATATTACATACCTATTACAAGTATATATGATAGATGTATATCACATACATATATCACCAGTCAGATATATTATAGATATATATCATTTGGGTAAAGTTGTTATTTTAAAATTGGACCCCCGTTTTTAAAATATATCATGCATTCTCACAAAAACAAAAAAAAAACCTAAAAAAATAAAGATAATAGCGTTATTTCTTAAATGTTAGTAGCACAAATAAATCTTAAAAAAATCTCTAGCAGTAATTAAATTTCAAAATTATAACTATGCACAAACTTTTAACATAATTATAAAACAATATATATAAATGGAAATTGTTTGGGGAAGGGAATACCCTGGACACGTGGAGGACCCCTGTTGGTGCTCCAAGATGGCTCATGAGTCATGCCCAGCTCGGATAGCCGAGATGGCCGCCACTAACGCCGACAAATGCTAAGTATGAGGGCCGAGGTGAACCTGGCCCAGGTCTGACCTACCGGGGAGCTCGGTAGGGGCCGATGTAAGCAACTGTCTGCGGCGTGATTATCGGGCGTAACCGTCGATCCCGAGATTACCGGGTGTAACCGACGGTCCCGAGATTACCGGGTGTAACCGACGGTCCCGAGATTACCGAATGTAACCGTCGAGAGATTAGCGGGACTACCACCCATAAGTAGAGGACCTCACTCCCCGATCAGGTACGATGACTTCTGGCCTCGAACTAAACTGGGAATCCGACCTA